AGAAAGATGTAGCTACAGGTCTAGTTACTACATGTCACCATTATCTGAATTTTTATTTCAACATACTAACGCAGACAACTCATCTACAATGCAAAACAATTTTAATACTCTCTGAAATGTGTTTGCTACTTGAAGATAATCAGATATCATAATTTAAAGTTCTGGTATCAAACCATCCTGGAGTACCTGTATAAAAAGTGCCATTTCACGCTAATAAAAATAGTATTAACTAACATTTATTGAGCATACATACGCTCCAAGTTTTTCATATGTAATATCTCTAATCCTCACAATCTTACTATGAAATCAATACCACATTGTTTATCCGCATATTATCATAGGAACAGAGAGGTTGAGTAACTTGCCCAAAGCCTCACAGCAAGTAAGTAGAAAAATGGTCTTGAAGTTGGGCAGCCTGGCTCCACTTAACCATTACACCAAATTGCCTGCCTCACTGCTTTGGACGCAAGGTACTTGGCGGGGGCGGGGGGGGGGTGCTGTGCTAAATCTGCATTAAATGGAGAGCTAATCCAATTATTGCTAAAACCAGCAACAGCAACTTTTTCATTGCATTTTTATTGCAACACCTGGGCTAATAAATTGCTGCAACTTAGTCCATATGAAGGTGGAATTGGCATGAGAGCTTCATTTCCTGCCTATTCAGCAGTGGTCGTCAAGAGCTGTTCTTTTGAGTTAGGCGAGCTTGTGCCCAGTGCGGACTCACCTCTCCCCCCACATGTCTCCATGTTAGCTCCAGTTTCCCCCATCTGTGCTGTGGTCCCCGCCACCAGGCCTGCTCCTGGCCCACTGAGAAGCAAACAAAACCCCCAGCACTGGTTTGGGGGTTCCCATCGAGATGATCCAGAACACGTTTTTATTATTCACTAGGTGAGATTATCATTAAAATAAAACCACTAATTTCAGAGAATACATAGACCCTCCCAAATACATGTATCCCCAGAAGCCCAGGGGCCTGAGACCTGTGGTGTGACATCAGGCTCCCTCACACGGAGGGGCACTCTGAAAACGGCAGAGTGAAACCCCACCCTTGTGTCTGACAAGGACATGATTGAAGACATTTTTCCAAACACTGCGTCATATCTGAAAAAAAAAAGTTCCTTTCTGCTTGTAGAATCAAGAATTGTTGTGCTTCTCTGAAGAAGTTTTTATTTTGTGTTTTTATGTCTGGACATGTGATATTTTGTGTTTCATGCTTTTCCTGAACAGCTCTTATCACAACTTGTAATCAGATATTCATTTGAGCAACGTCTTCGTGAATGTCCGTTTCTTGCATTCATCTGTTAAGTGTCGGCAGGGCAGAGACCAACTCTGTCTGCTTGACCCCTTTGTTTCCAGCACCTTGCACAGAACCTGTGTGTAGTAGGTCCTCAGTGAATGTTTGTTGAGTGAACAAGTGAGTGAATGAGTCAGTGAATAAATAAAACATATGAACCATGGGCTGGTCAATCTCCCTTTGTGTATGAGCTGCTAGAAAGTTCAGAGCTGGATTTGTCTGCCCCGCACATGCTTGTATTTCTGTACTAGCCTCATTCTTATTACAATTTTATGTCTCTACCTTTAGTTTCCTTTTTCTTTTCCGTCTACTTCTAAGTTAGTCTGCCTTGCTGTATTTTATGAATCCCTATAAACTGTCTTAAATCCCTTGGAGAACCAGGTAGGTGATACACATATTTATCAGAGTCTTTTTTATATGTATTTAAAATCTTAACCCTAAACCCTCTGCCAACAAACACAGTTGATCACCTGTAAACTCTCAAGAATAGCTGAGATTTGCTAATTCCAGCACCATATTGATATTTGAAGTAAATTCAGCCAAAGCCTAGAAACCACATGCAGTGTGTCATTTCAGGCAGGGTTGTACACTTTGTACGTGACAAGCACATTTCTAATCAGGCGAGACAACTGGGTAGATGAGAAAGAGCATAGGGCTTGCTACAAAAATGGTGGATTTTGGATCAAAGAGTGATTTATCCTCAGTGGCTCTCCAAAATGTATTGGCCTCATACTAATAATGAAAAGTTTGCTTTTACTGCACCTTATTAGGGGTGGGGGATAGGGAGCGAAGGTGAGTGAGGGGGTTCTGGGCAAGACTGGTACACAGGCTTTGAGAAAATCTGATCACTTTACACAATGAAGGTAGAACATTATAAAGTAAAATATTAAAAGGCCAAATCCCCTTTTTAAATCTCTAACATACACACTTCATATGTGAGTGGGAGGAGTGACTTGCAAGTCTGAAACTTCACAGCTATTTTCCCTGGTCATACTCGTGTAAAGCACTCTCACTTCAAACGTTACCAACTATTTTTCCTTAAAATGAAACATTTTCAAATCCCATTAACAAGGACATCGCTCACTGCACAAGTTCAGCATCTCATGTGTCTCCACCAGGCCCACGCCCTGGATGTGAAAGGAGGGAGGCTGCCTCCCCCATCATTTGTTCCTGCCAGGATGCCCCCAACACCTCCATCTGGGGTTAATCAGAAAGCACAAAATGCCCATTCAGGACACTGAGGTTTGAGTTCGAGTATTTATAAGGATCCTTCGAATCAGTTGAATCTTAGTCGACAAACTGCAAGAGGAGGGAAGGGTGGGTGTAAAGAAACAGATGGGTAATAATCATGTGTCAAAGATAAATGACAATTTTCAAAAGAATTTGATAGGGCGTGGGCTGGGGTTTTTTCCCCCTTCTTTTTCTCTCTCTTTCTTTCTCCTCACGCCCTCTTTTCTTCTTTTTCTTCTTCTTCTTCTTTTTTTTTTTTTTTTGTTTGGCAGGGGGTGGAGATTAGAGAAGAAAAGAAAAGGGGGAAACAGGCAAGACAATAGGGCAAACCCGAGCGCCTGATCAGCATCCTAAAGCAGTCCGCCCCTCCCACCCCCCAACATCAGGTAGGCTGGCTGTGGTCGCGATTTCAAAACAAGCAGACGCAGGCCCCCGCTTCTCCGGTGGAGGGTGGCCTCCTCCCCGGTGCAGGAGGGGAGAGGAGGCAGGGGAAGAGAGGGGAGGGAAAATGGAATCTAAGAGATGAACAGACTGCCCAGACTTCCTCGGGGAGAGTGGCCTTTTTTCCCTCCAAAGTGGTGGACTCGTATAAAAATTCAGACCCACTGGGGTCGGCCCACGTGCCAGCATCCCTGCTCCCAATGCAGGCGGCGGCCGACGCCGCACCTGCTCGCCCCGCAGCTGCGGCGGCGCCAAGGCGTTGGCGAGGCCCGGGGAACGCGCCCCGCGGCTCCCGGGAGGGCGGCGGCCGAGCGCGAAGGGAAGGGAGGGGCGGCCCCGCAAGGCGAGGCTTGCCGCCCGCCGTACCCAGAAGAAAGCCCCACCTGTCAGGCGCTGCGCTCGGAGCGGGTGAATCCGACCGTCCCCAGGCAGAGGCCAGAGCCTGGCAGACGCGCTTTCCCAAAAAACCTCCAATGTTATATTAGCAACAAAAAGCTTTAGGCATAGAGCACAGCCGCGGGGAAGGTCTGCATCGCAGACGCACTCACTAAACAGATGCTCACGGATCTGGACCAACCAGCTCCTGCACGGTGGAAGGATGCTGTAGGGTTCTCAAATTCGATTAAAATTAACAAAACCAAGGCCAGCCCATGGCGCCCATTCCCAAGACGGACTTACCTCCTGCACCGCATCTTATCCATCTCTGGTCTTCTGCTGCGGATTGCTGTTTTGTTTTGGTGATGGTGGTGGTGGTTTTTTCTTTTTGGAGTCGGCTTGATAGAAGCACTCAGCTAATCTGCAGAGCAATGTTTTCTACCCATCTTGCAGCCAGAGCTGCCTGGAATTCCACCGGCAATGCAGCTTCTCCGCGTCAGTGGTGATCACAGACAACAGAGGCTGCTACTCCTTGACAAAAGGCTTTCGTTCCCGCTCGTCTCCTACAGCCCCGCTCTCAGAATTAAATCCATTTCCCGCACAAGGCTGGGAGGAAATGAGAGCTCTCTTGGCCGTGTGCGCTGACAAAAGGCCGCCTGGTGATGCCCACAGCGCCCCCTCTAGCGGGCGGCTGCCCGGCCGCCCGCGGCCCGCCGTGCTGCAGTGCCCCCGCCCGCAGTCCCGCCGCCCGCGCTGCCGCAGTCCCGCCGCCCAGGCCCTCTGCCCACGTCCACTCCCGCACCACGAGCTGCCGGGAACACCCAGGAGCCAGGGTGAGGGTGTTACTAGGAAGAAAATCTGAAACGTGAGCTCCTCCGTTAGAGGATGTATCCTCTTGAGATTAAAAAGGAAAAAAAGTCTCTAATATTTTTTTTTTGTCTGAGAAGGATGTATTGCCTTTTGAAGATTACTTCTACTAGGGATTTTAATAGCAATTGACTGACCATTGGAATGCCAAGCCAAAATTCTCCTTATTCTAATTCTGACTCAATTTTCCACAAGGGCAAAATCTTTGTTGTTGCCCTGTCCTCTGGGTCTGTGGGCCCGGCTCCCTCCAATTCTCACTACTTCCTCCCCTCATCACCTCCCTTCCCCAGTCTCCCACCCTAGGGGGAACAGGTGTTTAGTGAATGGAGCAACCGCACAGAGAACCAGAATACTTGGGTACAGTCTCAGATCTACCATAACTAACTAGCTGTGTGATTTTGGTGAAGTCACTTAACCTCTCTGGGCCCTATGGTCTTACTACATAAAATGACAGTGTACCTAAGGCACCTCCCACTTCTTTCTGACAGTGTTTCTCAATGCATGGCCCTCAGTGAGTAGGGATGTTCGGTGGTAGCTTGGTACTTTAGGTCCCCATAATCTCTATCAACTCCCCAAAGCTCCCCTAAATCAACATTCACTCTAGATGTTTTTTAAAATGTGACGTCCAGGCAAGTACAGCATCCAGAAAAGCCTCTGATCTCTGCCCCCAACCAGATCATGGCCTCCCTGCTCCCTCGAGGTTCTGGGGCACCACAGCCCCATAAAAAATCACCAGACACCCCCCCACCCCGCCCCACGGTGCTGCTGCAGAATCAGAATCTCCGGAGGTGGGTCTGGGAACCCATATTTTCGACAAGCATTCCCAGTGATTCCTTTGCACACTAACATATAAGAAATGCCACCATATTTGAGCTATGCCCACCACAACAAACCCAGGACACCTGCAGGCATCACATTTCAGATGCCAGGGCAAATTTTGTCTTTCTGCTCCTCCAACCCCACCATCCCCTGGTCTCTACCCAGCCTTCCCCACTCAGAGCTTCTCCTCCATTCCCACTTCACCTTCAGAATCACTGAGTCCACAAGCCCCCTTCCCATTCTCCCATCAAAACCTGTCAGAAATACAAGCAGCTCAGTCACCAGGACCCAAGGTCTGTCTGGCCAGAACCAGGAAATGATATGTTTATTGAGATGCTTCAGGCGGCTGTGTATTCTCGGTGCAGAGTGATAATATCTGTGAAGCTAGAAATACTTTCTCTGGAGCCCTGGAAATCTGGAAATCACAGGTATGGTAGGCTTTTTTTCTGAAATAGAACCCAAAAAGGAAATAGAGAATTTTTGTCCCGTCCAGAAATAGCAGGTTTTATAAATCCCCTTGGTCATTTCCATCACTCAAAAAGATCTCTTCCTGGTGTTATTAAGCTTTCTCAAACTAATAACAGCAAACTCTGGTTGGCTCCTGCCACTGTTCTGAGAGCTTTACCTGCATTTTGTCTCATTTAATCCTCACAAGAACTCTATGAGGATGCTAATATTATATTACCCTATTTAATAGATGAAGAGACTGAGGTACAGAGAGATTAGGTAACTTGCCCAAGGTTGCACAGCCAATGGTTGGCCAAGTCAAGATGCAAACTCAAGGACTATGGCTCCAGAGCTGAGCCCTAACCACTACCATGCACGTGGCCTCTCAAAGGGGACAAAAAATTGACTTTAAAAAGCAGAACTAATACAAGACACTGATAAAGTCAATAAAGCTGTTACACTCTCCTTTTCCCAGAACACTGATTCTGCTCTTCTGGCCATCACAGAACCTTAAAAAAAAAATTCCCTCCAGCTTCTCCCAGATGCCACCTGATTGTGACATCTAAATATGAGGAGCGCTGGAGGGAGTGGCACCATCCTGTGACCTTAGGAATTGTTCAGACGTCAGACAGGAAACAAGACTTCACTGCGTTAATTTCCATGTTAATAGCCCATATGCAATTTCAGTTGGAGATCCTAAAGTTCTCGCTCATTCAACTCTAAATTCACTTTCAAATCCAATAAGAGGAACCAGAACTAGCTGGCTCCACAAAATATCACTAGAATTCAAAGTTCTCACTGCAGAAAGCTCGAGATTCCTGGCTCTTAACTAGGGATGGGGAAACATAGGAGAGAATCACATTGGGCTAGCCCCTAATGGCCAGATAGTTTAAAATTAGACTTCCTACTGATCTGCAATACAGTTATTTCTCCTCTCCAAGTCTCTTGACAAAAATGTTTCCAGCCAGCAGTAACTTATAAAGAGAGCAGAGGGCACTGTAGGGTAGCAGACACCGGCAATGTCTAAACAGACCTATGTGGCAAGGAACTGAGGGTGATGCCAGCTAGAAACTGAGGCCATCGGTCTAAAAGTCCTAGAGAAAATGAATTCGGCAGACAACCACCTAAGCTGGGAAGCAGATCCTTCCCCAAGCCAAGTAAGTCTTCAGCTGAGACCCCAGTCCAGATCGACACCTTGATTTCTGCCTTGAGAGAAATGGTGAAGCAGAGGACCCAGCTAAGCCAGGCCCATACACAATTTCTGAGCCCCAGAAACTGGGCATAATAAATGTGTTAAATTGCTAAGTTTGTTGCACAGCAATAGATCATTAATTCAGGGCCTGAGCACTCTCTGGGGCCAGGCATCCTTATCAATGGCTTCCCCAGGGCACGTTGGAGGTGCTGTTGGAATCCACACCGGAGGGAATCAGCTCTCAGTCAGTGACCATCAGGAGTCAGTGTATAAAGAGCCCGGCTCCCTCCCTCCCAAGCGTGGGGAGGGCAGCTCTGAGGCTGCCCCAGCAGGACTGAGCCCCAGCTGCCCACGGCAGTCATGCATCTTTTGTGGTCTGGCTTTCTTCCCTGTATCACTTCTCCACTCCCCTATTGGTGTTTCCTGGGCTTGCCTCCCCAGTAAATGACAAATCATGGCCTATTTTTTAGGGAAATCGAGTTTGGGGGCGGGGGGCGGGGCTTTCAAAGCAAGACCAATGATAAATTCTAAGTCTAGATCTCCTTAAGGCACCGTTCTCCCAACAAGTGAAAATACAGCCAACCCTGTGGCTGAGGCCTGTTGTGGAAACAGAACTAAACTGGGGTCCAGGGCCTGGGACTCCCAATCTCAGTCTCACGGACTGTGTGCCCTTGGGAAAGAGTCTGACCCCAGGGCCCAGCTGTAAAGTGAAGGTAACGGAGCTTGCCCTCTGTTATGGGCTGAATTCCTGTGTTGAAGTCCTAAACCCTAGTACCTCAGAACATGACTATACTTGGAATTAGGGTCTTCAAAGAGGTAGTGAAGTAAATTAACGATAATTAAGAAATTAACAAATTAGGTCATGTGAGTGAGCTTTAATCCAATAGGACGCTGCTTTTTTAAGAAGAGGAAATAGACACAGACTGACACAGGGAGAAGACAACCATCTACAGCCAAGGAGAGAAGTGTCAGAGGAAACCAACCTGCTGACAGCTCCATCTCTTGATCTCAGATAAATTTCTGTGGTTCAAGGCACTCAGTCTATGGTACATTTTTATGGCAGCCCCAGAAAACAGATGCAGTCTCCTGCCGCCCAGGGTCATCATACAGACACAATGGGACACCAAGGGAAAGTACATACAGCCTCATTACTGATTCAGATGAGCCCCCCAGCACTTGCAACCCCGGCCACGCGAGGAGGAAGCACGCAGGGCAGTGAGGCACCAAGGCCCACTGGTGGGGAGAGGCCCCAGACTCCAGAGGAAAGGCAGTCCTGTTACAAAGTGGCAAGGAACTTGGCTAAATTATATTCTAGGGTTTTTCTCAAAGGTAGAACTCGCAAATGATGACATTGACTATTTAGCAGGAGAGATTTTTAGGCAAAATACTGAAGGTGCTGCTTGGGTCAGCCTTACTGCTTATAGTGAAACGCAAGAGGCGAGAGATGAATTAAAGAATTATTAAACAAAAAGGAACCGGAACTTAGAGATTTAGCGAATTCTCATCTATATTTCAAGAAGTGAGAATGCTTGCCCTGAAGAGAGTACTGAGGGTGGGGCTGAACAACCATTTGATAACGAGATCATGGGCGCAAGTCATGGACTCCATCAACCACCTCAGCAGAGGCCAGGAAGAGAGATGGGATTTTACCACAAACACACTGCCAGTTTGGGCAGAAGGGGACAGAGAAAGCGGAACAGAATGAAGGCAGGCTGTCAACGAGACCACGGAGGCATTCGTTTGCAAACACGCCCTGTTCTTCAAGGACAGGGAACAATGACCCACAGGCCTTTGGGAGGCCATCTGGGCTGCCACTCAGACCACAGGCCCGGGAGGCAAGTCTGTTTCCTGCTGGTTTCAGAGGGCAAGGCCACTGTGAAGGGTGGCACTGCCACCCCAGTGGGCCTGGAAGGTGGGACGCTGAGCCAAAGAGGATTATTCAAAAACTTAAACTATAAATGGAACTTGCCTTGCTAGGCTTGGGGCTTGTTGGGGACCCACCAGCACTTTCTTCTAATTCCTCCCTTTTGGAATGGGGGTGTCTGCCCTGTGCCTGTTCACCATCGCATTTTGGGAGCATGTAACTTGTCTGGTTTCACAGGCTCACAGCTGGAAACGACTCTTGCCTCAGGATGAATCACACCTCTGGTCTCACCCATATGTGTCTTAGGTGATACTTTGGACTTTAGGGTTAATGCTGGAATGAGTTAAGACTTTGGGGATTGTTTGAATGGAATGAATGTATTTTGCATGTGATAAGAACATGAGTTTGGGGGAGTTTGGGGTGGAATGCTATGAACTAAATCTTGTTCCCTCAAAATTTGTACATTGAAGCCCTAACCCTCAAGGTGACTGTATTTGGAGACAGAGCTTTTAGGAAGTCATTAGGTTAAATGAGCTCATAAAGGTGAGGCCTTAATCCACTAGGACTGGTGTTCTTATAAGAGGAAGAGAGACCAGTGTTCCTTCTTTCTCTCTGCACCATGTGTGGACGCAGAGAGAAGGCAGCTGTCTGGAAAAGCAACATCCCCCAGAAACTAAGCCCTTCAGGCCTTGACCTTGGACTAGCCAACCTCTGGCACTGTGGGAAATAAACTTCTGTTAAGCCACCCAGTCTGCAGTCTAAGCTGTGGCAGCCTAAGAGGACTGCAGTCTCTCTGTGCCTCAGTCTCTCCACCTGTAAAGCAGGGATATCCTGCAGGACTGTTAGGAGAACAAGGTAGTGTATGTAAAGTATGGAGAACAGGCACATTTATTAAGTGCTAGGTCCTTGTGAGCAGGCGAGCAGTTGTTGCAAAGAAGAAGGCTGCCTCTGTGCTCACGGTGCTGGAGCGTCTAACCTGCATCAAGGTGCCATATGGCCTAAGCTGGGTACCTGAAACTGAGAAAGGAGAGTCAAGTAGGTTTGTGACAGGCAAGGCCATTTAAAGGGTAACTGTCAAACTTTGAATTATCACAATTTTTTTTTTTAAAAAAAGAGACTCAAGCTTTCAAGACTGCATTTATTTGTAGAAGGTAGCCCTGGGCCAGCCTTTTCACTTTTCATACTTGAAAGAACCTGAAACAGAGAAGAGCTCATTGTAAATGACTAAA